CCAGCACCCATATGGGATCCCAGCACATTCAAGGTGAGGACTTTAGCTGCTAGGCCACGCTGCTGGGCCCGTGGCTTTTCATTTAAGGGGATGTATGGTAACTGTGTAATGGATACTATCATATCCAGATGTGAGGATACAATGCAGTGGGTATCTCTACTTCCAGCTCAAAGATGGACTACCAATGAAACTGTTAACTATATCTTCACAATAGGATGCTGGACTCTCTGCCATTGTCCATGCTAGCAATGATGACCATATGACTGTTTATGAAGAACTATACTATCATAATAGAATAGGGGAACTTAGTGGGGTGGAGGGGACTTGGAGTGGGGGTGGAGGAAATCCCAAGGCCTATGGAACTGTATCATAAAATGATAGTGGGGCCCGGCGCGGTGGCGCAAGTGGTTAAAGGTCCTCGCCTTGCACGCCCGGGATCCCATATGGGCGCCGGTTTTAATCCCGGCAGCCCTGCTTCCCTTCCAGCTCCCTGCCTGTGGCCCGGGAAAGCAGTCGAGGACAGCCCAAAGCTTTGGGACCCTGCACCTGCGTGGGAGACCCGGAAGAGGCTCCTGGCTTCGGATCGGCATAGTATCGGCCGTTGCGCTCACTTGGGGAGTGAATCATTGGACGGAAGATCTTCCTCTCTGTCTCTCCTCTCTGTATATCCGCCTTTCCAATGAAAAAATAATAAAAATAAATCTTTAAAAAAAATGATAGTGGTAATAATAAAAAAGAAAAAACAAAACAAAACAAAAAAATAGGCTCCTGACTCCTAGCTTCGGGTCAGTTTAGCTCCTAGCCATGTGGCTACTTGGGGAGTGAACCAGCAGATGGAAGATCTTTGTCTCTGCTTCTCCTTCTCTCTGTAAATCTGCCTTTCCAATAAAAAAACTTAAGAAATAGAAACCAGGCACACTTAATGATTTACTTCCATTTTCCACAATCATTTTGAAAGCATCTTCGCATACGTGTCTGTTGTTAAGGAACAGGAAGGACATACAGTGGAACAACAGTGTTTATCCTTGGGTGGGGGAATGATGGGGAATTTTCTTTTTCTGTGCTTTTTGGTGTTTTCCAAAAATTTTCTCCATAACCATGAATTACTCTTGCAACTGGGAAAAATCCAATGAATATTATTTAAAAATTAAAAAGCAACCAAGCCAGAAGATGCTGTGTTTACTGAATCCATGCTAGGTGCCTGCCAACTGCTCATGTCCTGTTTCATTGAATTCCCACCACAGCTCCATGAGTAAGGTGCCATCACTGCTATTTGACAGAAGAAGAATGGAGACCCAGGTGGACAGCAGCACTTGACCTGGGCCTCCCACAGGTAACAGAAAGAAGGCCTGAAATTGCCATCTTGTCTTATTATGTCCAGTGGTCTCCTTGGACAGCCCTGCCCTTATCGCCTGAAATAGGACATAAGTGGAAGCATACTTTTATGTTTTATGTAGTCCTACACCTATTGGCCTTCACTTAATATTGGCTGAAGGAATGAATGAATGGGTGTGCTTGGAGAGAGTACTGAGGCCTGTGGATGTAAAAAGTCACTGATTTGGCCTACCCTAAGCCACGATTGGTCTGTTTCTAATACCTCTTTACTGCCATCCCATCCCAGCTCTGTCACTCTAGACTCCAGTATTATGAACTTGATTGAACATATTTCATTCAGGGTCAAGGAGGGTGTTTGACACAGTGGCTAACATGTTGCTTAAGATGTCCACATCCCACACTGGAGGGCCTGGGTTCGAGTCCCAGCTCTATTGCTGATTCCAGCATCCTATAATGCAAACCCTGGGAGGCAGCCGTGATAGCTTAACACATTGGGATCTTCACATCCATGTGGGAGGCCCAGTTAGCTGCTCTGGCTTTCAAATACATGAAGTAAAGAAGTAATAAAAATAATAATAAATCAGTCCATGTCAGATGAGCCCCTGACCTCAGGAAAAAAGGGGAAGTGCAATCAAGGTGATACACTTGCCCGGGGAGGGCATGCCTCCCCAGCATGGCTCATGTGAAGAGTACGTTATACCAAGCCAAGTCTCTCCACATGAAGTAGTTTGGCTCAATAAAAACTAGAAAAAAAATTGTAAATAGTTACCACTTTCAGCGGCAGCTTTGTAAAAAGGGGCTTCCTTGGATTTGGAAATTCCCTTTGAGGTTTTTCCATTTTCATTTGCCACTTAACCCTGGAATGAGATCATGAATCTATCCAACAAAGACAGTATTTTAAGGGCCAAGAGACACACACTAAATTTTAAAGCAAAGGCTGAAAACAACAATGCTAATCACCAGAGGGACCATCAACAATAACTGGTTCCTACCACAGTTGGGAAGTGCCACATTTATAAACATCTCTCTTGCAATCCTCTCAGCAGCTCCAGCAAGATTAAACCAGGGGCTTGGCACAGTAGCCTAGTGGCTAAAGTCCTCGTCTTGCATGTGCCAGAATCTCATGTGGGCACTGCTTCCTGCTCTGGCTGCCCTGTTTCCCATCCAGCTCCCTGGTTGTGGCCTGGGAAAGAGGAACAGGACGACCCAAGGCCTTGGGATCCTGCACCCATGTGGGAGACTTGAGGGAAGCTCCAGGCTCTTGTTTTTGGATGGGTGTGAATTCGGCTGCTGCAGCCACTTGGGGAGTAAATCATCAGGTGGAAGATCTTCCTCTTTATCTCTCCTTTCTGTATATCTGACTTTCTAATAAAAATAAACAAATCTTTAACAACAACAGCAAAAAAGATTAAAGCGGTCACACGACTTGGAAGTGATGGGTTGGGATTCAAACCCAACTCTGAAGCCTGACTTTTTTCTCATGATTCAGTATAAGAGAAAGCAACCTGTTTTCACTTCCTCAAGTTCTGGGCAATTCCTCTCTCACCTCAGAACAACCTTGCTGCTGAACTCTCCAAGTGCTGTTTCCAGCTGTGACATGTGGCCTTTACCATTTTCTACCCTGGATCACATACAACTGTTTACTCTCTTGTCCTCTGCTGCAACTGGAAACTTCTAGAAAAAAAGTTTCTGTCTGATTCTTCTCTCTTGCCTGGGCCTACCATAATGCCTAAGACATGACAAGCTGTTCTGCCAACAAGTGCTGCAGGAACGACAACACTGATAAAAATAATGTAACTGGTGTGGCTCCCCCCCTTTATTTCACCCCTTCTCCCAGAAATAAGAAATAGCAAATTTGGAATCAATGATTTCGCCCACTTTTCACTAATCCTCGATCCTTCCCACCCTGATCAACCATGTAATCATCATGGGAAAAATAAGAAATGAAAATAAAAACAAAAATATTAAAAAAAAAATGTGAAAGGTGTTGGCACTTGGCTGCTCAAAGTTAGGTGAGTAGGCAGTCACTGTGTACTGGTTGGAAGTGCAGACTTCTTGACTCCAGACTTTAGAATCTGTTTTAGAACATGATCCTTATGTGATAAATATTGTTTTAGCCTACATTATGTTATTTAAAATTTATTTCCCCAAGGTAGGCACTGTAGTGCAAGTTAAGCTGTCTTTTGGGATGTCTAAATCCCATATTAGATGAACTGCCTGGAATCAAGTTCCATTTCTGCTTTGGATCTAGCTTCCTGCTAATGTTTCTTGGAGGCATATCAGTACTTGGGCTCCTGCTAACCATCTAGGTGGGAGACCCAGAAAGAGTTCCAGCCTTTGTGATGTGGTTCCATCCTGACTGTTGTGTTTGGGGAGTGAATCGTGGATGAAAAATCTCTTTCAAATATATAAGTAAATAAAATTGTTTTCCCATGTATTTTTGGGCTTCATGTGTGAGCAAAGGCTGGACTGAGAGCTATATTACCATGGGACTGATTTCCTTGCTCTAAATCCTCCAGTGGCCCTATAGTTTTTAGGATAAAGTTCAAACTGGTTGGGCTGGCACTTAAGATTCATTCATTTTCACTAAAATGGACTGATTCCTTGCAGCCTGCATGGACTTTTCTGATCCTTTTCCTTTTATTGTTGCCGGCCACTGAAGAGACAACCTCTCCTCTTCCTTCCTTCTGTCTATCCTTTCTAGGCCTGGCTCAATCCCCTCCTTCTCATAATCATGTTCCTCTGAAGTGGGAGGAGATGAACAGAGTGAAAAGACCTGCAAAGATCCATGAAATTCCCCCACCTCGGCCAATTTCATCCTCACAGGAGGCAGTTGGGCGGGCGAATTCTGCAGGTTTCCACTTACAAGTGTGGAAAAGGAGGCACAAGTGTATGACATAACTCACCTAATGTCACAGTTACTAAACAGAAGGGTTAGGACTCAAACCCTACCTGCCTGGCCCAGAAGCTGGCCAGAGCCCCCAAAATACTGCCTCTAAACTAGAGCACTTCTGGGTGAAGGAGGCCTAGAATGGTTTACTTTTTTTTTTTTTAAAATCATAGAAGCATTACATATATTGTATCTGGTTGTTCAAATACAAGAATCTATAAACAGAGATCTTCATGTCATTCTACTCCTGGTTAAGAAGATTGTGGAGCATCCTTAGAATTTCAGGGCCCTGCAGGTTTGCTACTTCCCATCCATAGATGGAAAACTTTTGCTGTTGTCCCTCCCCATGGATTTCTGACCTAATGGCCTAACTGTACAAGAGTCGGTCTCAAGGTCTGTCTCCCTCAACTTGTTTTCTCCAAATCCTGACACAGACCTTGATTTCATGGGTAAAAATATTTGCTGAGCACAACACCTCCTCTCCCTGAGCCCAATCCAGAATTAGGTGCACAGTGTGTGCTGATGATATGGTTGCTGATTGACTGCTTTCCTTTCTTCTCTTTCTTTAGCTAAATGGAACTGTGGGCCAACAGCCTCCTCTATCCCCATCTTCTTCATGAATCCTTCCTTGACTGCGTGAACCCTCTTATTTATTTCCTATAAAACAGGCCTGTCCTCTTTGTTCCACCGGCAGGCTGGACCCACGCGGCTGCACAGAGTAGCCGGAGCCCGCCCAGAGGCACAGAGCCCCTGTTGTCGGAAACACCAGACCTCTGTCCTTCACTATTGAGACTGTCTCCGAGCCTTCCTCGCCATGACTTCTCACAAAACCTTCAGCATCAAGAGATTCCTGGCCAAGAAACAGAAACAAAATTGTCCAATTCTCCAATGGATTCGAATGAAAACTGGTAATAAGATCAGGTACAACTCCAAGAGGAGACACTGGAGGAGAACCAAGCTGGGTCTGTGAGGAGCTGCGCTTCAGCGTGTGAAGCATGTCACTACCGACCACATCCAGCTAAGGACACCACTGTTACTGGGCAGCTGACATGTGACCGCGTCAGTAATAAATGTGTGAGATGCTTTGAAAAAAACAAAACAAAACAAAAACAGGCCTGTTGGTGGTGCAGGGCTTAACGCAAAATATTATTATCAAAGGTTGTATTTCTTGTCTCTGCAGGTTGAGTAAGGAGCTTTTTGAAGATGAGGTCCATGTCTTCTATTTCTAGCCCAGGATTGAGCACTCAGTGAGTGCCCATGCATTACCCACTGATTAGTTTATGGACCTAGTCCAGCTTCTAGCAGGGGAGCCACCTTCTGGCTCAGGCCCAGCTGGGGCCAGATGGGATGGAGTAGCTTCTGCATCACTCAAGAGACTACTGTCAATGCCATACTGAGTCTGTTCCAAGCATTGACCTCTCTGGTAATAGCAATTTCATCACAGAACACTTTCACAAACTGGACAGCTATAACTTTCTAAGAGGCACAAAAAGAAGAATTATTTATGCATAGATGAAGAGACACAGTTTGATTCTGTACATGAAATCTTTACCGAAGATAACTTTAGTTCTCTCAAAATTAATCCAAAAATCTAAAACCACCTCAATTAAAACCCCTGTTTCTTTTGGGGGGTCTGGAAAAGAGGAAGAAGCTACATGATACAAAACTAAATAGATGGAAGATTATGACATATGGAAGAACCACCACAAGAAAAGTGTCCATGTCAATTGAAATAAATCAAGAGGAAGGGTAGGGTGGGCATAAAGAAAGTGTAAGCTCACCCCTTTAGACTCAAAAACTCACTTTAAGACCATAACAATTAAAAATAATAGGACAGGAAGTACAGGAAAAAAACCTGAAGGATTATTAAAATTACATGTTTTAGAAAGACAACAAAACATCCATGAGAATGCTGTATGCCATTTTAATGCTTGTAGGAAAAAGCAGATTATTCTATAAATGGCATCGGGACAAATGGATAGCTATTTTGAAAGCAGCAAGGCTGCAGCTATACTTTATTTCTCACACCAAAATAAACACAAATGATGAAAGATTTTAAATAGAAAAATCATTGCATTATTAGAAGAGAATGTTGGTCATTTTAGTTTTTTTTTAAAATAATTCTGAAAGAGGAAAATCCCTTTAAAGCATGACAGAAGTTCAGGATCAGTCATGAAAGGTATGATGAATCTGTCTAGACCTTTGGGTAAGGCTGGAAACTCCAAAATCAAAGTTAAAAGAAGAACTGAGGGAACTGCTTGTAATTGAAGTAAGAAAATGGATGTTTCTAATACACAAAGCTTTTGTTCAAATCAGTAAGAGACACACAATTTAGTTGAAAGTTACACAAATCATATGGGGAAGCAAATAAATATAGTGGACAAGCAAGAGAAACAATAAATACAAAATTTCTTTCTACAATAAATGATGAATTAAAAAGCAGCAGAAAATACTTTAGCTCTAATAGTTTGGAAGACATTTTAAAATATGTTTATGGTCACTTTACCAATGGTAAAGTGGAAAACAGATATTCCATTCATCTTGGGTAGGGGGTGATGGTTTTGGGTGGAAAATTGATATTATCTAGTAAAATAAACAAGACTTTTGATCAAATTATTTGGCATTCAAGAGTATATTTGATAAGCGTATTCTTAAAAGGAGACAAAGATGAAAGTATCAGAAACTACAGTAATTTTCCTCCTAAATGGGAAATAATAAAAATGTCCAGCAATAAGGGATCATGAAATAAATTGTGTAGTACTAATACAAGGAAAAACCTGTGTTAAAAAGGTAAGTCAAATCCACATGGTAATGATACCCATGAAAGAATCAGGAAGATAAAAGCAAATTGTAGGGAATTATCCCTTAGCACAATTTGATTTTTATGCAAAATCTCTGCTTGTGCTTGTGTGAATATAGGAGTGTGTATATGCATGTGTGTGTGTGCATGAGTGTCTTAGTATATTCACAGCAAAACAATCTGGGTAAACAGACACCACACTGTGCATGGTGGTTATCTCTGGAAGATGAGTTTATGTAAAGATTTTCACTTTGAATTTAACATTCTTTTTGCAGTGAACAAATAATTGCTCTTGCAATTAGAGGTTGAGGGCAACAGAGAGAGAGAGAGAGAGAGAGAGAGAGAGAGAGAAAGAGAGAGAGAAGGACGGAGGGGAGAGAAGGGGAAGAGAAGAGATGGGGAGAGAGGAGAGGAGAAAAAGGGAGATAATGAGGGAGGCAGGCAGTCTGCAAGCAAAGGAGAAAAAGTCAGTGTAATACTAAGATCTGGTAGACCATTAGGACAGGTCATGGCCTCCTTGAGCCCAAGTTTCTACAAGTACAAAACAAGGGGGCTGCCTAAACTACTGCATCTCTCCCCCTCCCCAATTCTCTAACTCTAAGCCCTGGTTCTCCCTTTAGCAGGAATGATGTTCTTTGAGCCTAGAACAAACAGACTGCACACAGTTGATCTTTCTCTGCGAGCTAGCTGATGGAGCTGCTGGTTGGCTGAGAGGCCTGGGTGTCTTGGGATGAAAGGCTCCATGAGAGAACAGGGAAATTACTGGCCTTGGGGAGCCAGATGGCAAAACACGGAGACTGGGCCACTTAGGCTATTAGGCCCTGCGTGCTGCCTTTGATCCCTTCCTTCAGCAGCTGTTCCCCTGATTTGTGTACTCTTCTTTCTGACTCATCCTTTTGTTTTGGCCTTTGGCTGGTGGCAATCAAAACTTTCATTATGGGGCCCAGCGGCGTGGCCTAGTGGCTAAAGTCCTCACCTTGATCATGCCAGGATGCCATATAGGCGCCAGTTCTAATCCCGGCAGCCCCGCTTCCCATCCAGCTCCCTGCCTGTGGCCTGGGAAAACAGTCGAGGACAGCCGAAAGCTTTGGGACCCTGCACCCATGTGGGAGACCCAGAAGAGGTTCCTGGTTCCTGGCTTTGGATTGGCGCAGTACCGGCCGTTGTGGCTCACTTGGGGAGTGAATCACTGGACGAAAGATCTTCCTCTCTGTCTCCCCTCCTCTCTGTATATCTGAGTTTGTAATAAAAATGAATAAATCTTAAAAACAAAACAAACTTTCCTTATGCCCAAGCTGGCCTGCCAGGTTAGATGAGATCTGGGACTCCTGGATGGCTCCAAGGTCCCTCTTCACTTGTCTGGCCCAGTGGGACACACATTCCTCCTTGAGGTGGCCACACCTGGGGATCACACAATATGTGTTTCTTAATGACAGAGTGAATGATGCTGGCTACCACCTCGGGGGTGTCTTGACATCTGCCTGGAGCCTCTCTTGCCTTTCTGCATCCCACAAGCAAAGCACAGTGACAGCTGTATAATGAACTGAGTTAGTCTTGGCTGTGCTGCTTTCTAGATTCTAACACAGCGAAGATTCCATTCTTCTGTTCAGTCTGAGCTACAGAGAACCTCTAAAACTCCTGCCCTTGCTCACAGCTTGAAGGCCCTCTTAGCTGGGAAGTCTACTAGGTAGAAGTGTCTGGAAAATAATTCCTTGCTCAACTTAGAGCTGTCCCATAGGACCCAGAACTGGGTGCGCGCCGGCTTGGGGCCACATGAGAATGTTTTCCGAGAATTTCCGTGAGAAAAGCTCAGAATGTGCCCAGTAATGCTGCGTGTGCTTTCTGTCTGTGTGTCACTCAGATGTCTGCTGGGAACTTCCCTGTTCCTGGAAGACCAGGCGAGATTGTCTCTGTGCCCCTTTCCCATAAAACTGGAAGTTTAAGGCTGTCTCTGGAATTCCACAGATTTCTGCAGAGGGGCGGGGGAACTGACTTTCACCTGGCCTCTCCCCCTCTTGGCCTCATTTCCCTCAGCGCTCTCCTCTACCTGCACCATGTCGAGGTTTTGATTCCATGAGAGGAAAATCACCCATGCAAAGTGCGATGATCTACACAACAGGTGTCCCCCTAAATTCATTTGTTGAAAACCTTAAGCCCCATGGGATGGTATTCGCAAGTCCCTGCTTATGAATACCATCTCTCTCTCTCCTTCACCCTCTTTCCGCCACATGAGAATACAAGAAGTTGGCAATCTGCAACCCAGGAAAAGGATGCCAACAGGACTTGACGATACCTGCACTGTGATCTTGGACTTTAAGCCTTTGAAATGGTAAGAAATACACCTGCTGTTTATAAATCACTGACTTACAGTACTTTGCTATGGCAGCCTGAGCTGCCCAAGACATTTAGCAGAACTACTTGATTCCAGGCTCCCTGACCTCCTTCTCCACCTCTCCACCTCCCTCCCAGATTGCCCCAGGGGATCCAAATTCTTATCTTCTTTTTAAGGTGAGCATTTGTATTCTCTTTTCTGGTAGGTTTGCCACTAGCCTTGTGGTAGGTAGTAGGGAGGTAATTTTGAGAGGATCGTGGAGGGACATGACTTTTATCTTCTATTTTCAGCTCTAAAGAAGAAATTTTTTTCCAAAGACATTTTCTGTTTTTAAAGAAAATCTAATTTTCAGAAAATGGGATCTCTCCACCCCCTTTAGTGCTTTTAATGGAAATAAGTGTCCCATTCCCACGTTGACACAGATTTCTGGACAATCAATGCCAGTGAGAAGTCTCCACATTTTGTTCTACTTTGTGGCAAGTCTATTAAACATCTCTTAGATGCCTGTCTCTGGGATAAGGATCTAATCAAGGAGATGAACATTGATTTGGGAAGCAAGGAAATTTCACTGATTACTTTTTCAGTTCCCACAAGTCTAAGAAGCAGGTGTAATTATGCTCAGTTTATAGATGAGAAAAATAATCACAGCTCAGAGCAATTAAGGAACTTGCTTAAGATGACATGGAGCAAGTGAAGACAGGATTCAATTCCAGACCTGACTCCTAACTCCAGGGCTGATTCCCTGCTACTGAAGACTTGTAACTCTCCCAGAACATTCAGTATGAAGACATCTAGAAGAAAGCCACCTGGTGTCTGCTACATGCAGGGACCCAGAGAATAGGAGGAGGAGGCCCTATTTGACATTGCTACCTTCAAAGAACATTCTTGCAAAAGTACTTTCACCTTCAAACATTTTTTGTTGTTGGAGGCAAGAGCTGGAGGGATAGAGAGGAACATGCCTT